CCTGCTGGATCATTTGCTTTGACTCAGCGATATATATGAACTGTCTGTGTATTTCTTGTACCTAACCTGATGTCGCAAAATATCACTTTTTAAGAAACAACTTTTCATAAACTGGTGCATTCGTTTTCTGCCATTGCAGCAACCAATTCGTCGAAATTTTACTCGCGGCTTGATTGAGCTTGCGGATCTTTTAACCAGGCACCAAGTTAACATATGTCAAACAAACAGAAACGTGAACCGTCAAACAAAGTGCACAGAAAGTATGATTTTACGTATTTGTATAGTCTTCATATGGAGGGCATTTTTCTCAACAAAATCGCCTTTATAAGTGATCAACAGACGTCTGTTCTAGCTTACTCGAGTTAGGTTATTACATTGCCTTTTCATTACGGAAGCTAGGCTCTGATGGACTGTTCAACTGTTGATGGATTTGCATGAACCACCAGATTTATTAAGACATCAGTAGCGATACTGAGACTGTGGACATGGTGAAAATGTCTACAGGGAACTCTTATTTTTGTTCCTGTACGATAACCGACTGATGCACCAACGTTCTACTATGTCACAATGCTGCACGATATATGCGGTCAAAAATTTTTTCTCGAGATCTCGGCATCCCAGTAGAATAGAATCAAAAGACTGGTGATATTTTAGAATCACTTCCTTTATATCCAGGGTTTTCGCATACACCTATTACTTAGCAGTAAAATGGTTTATCATCTTACATCGCCGCTTCTCTCTTCGGGTCCCGGAGACAGACGCGTCAGACAGAGCTTCCAACATTCCCGATCCTGTGCCAGAGTCTGAGCTTCGGCAAAAGACAAATGGAGTCCGGAACAGACTCCCTCCATATGTTTGCACCAGGTTAATCTTGGCCGTCCCCTGGGCCTTCTGCCGATCGGATTTGCAAGGAACAGGAGGCATTCGCAACATATACCCAAGCCATCGCAGCTGTGACTTCTCAATCTGGAAATGCAAAGGGTGTATTCTAAGGCTCTTCCGGATGTCATTATTCCGGACAATGTCAAGACGCGTAAAGCCAGCGACTCATCTAAGAAAGCCCATTTCAGCAGCTTGTACCAGGGTTCGAAGTTTTTCAGTGATGGTCCAAGACTCATGACCGTAGGTAAGCATGGGAATAAAATCTACTTGAACATTGAAAGCTTAGTTTTCAGACTGACCTC